TAATACCTCAGAGTCGGATGGTGTGGATATACCTCGGCGGTGGTGCTCATGGAGCCTGAGATGTCGATGCAGAGGAGCAGCAGAGGGTCAGCGGCACCCAGGGGCTTTTCATCAGGACAGAGAGAAAACAGGCCATCCCGGTGACCAGTTAGAGGACACTGTGGCTCCCAAGACCCACAGAAGTAACAGTCCTTTACCTGAAATAAATATAACTTTTACAGAGAAATAACCAACATTAACTGAAATCTACGGAAGCCGTGAGAGGCAATCTTGGTCATCCAAGTTATATATAAATAGTTTTATGTCCCGTGTTTATAATGTATGAACATTTGAAGACAAGTTTTTTTCTCGATATTATATTATTATTATATTATTTCTTTCTTTAAAAGATTGGAGAAAAACTAGGTTTCTATAAGTTGTTCGTTGGTTTCTCATTTAGGCCACGACATGTTTTGAATAAGTCTAGAATCTATGTTTTCCAGCCAAAAGAACAACATGAAAGAACTAATACGTAACTTTCTAACACACACTAAATGTACAATGTGTTTAGAGAAATTAAAACTCACTTGGAGGAAAACATAAATGCTTTTAGTACCATTTAAAACTTTGTGCAGAGATGCACTTCAGCGTCTTGTGGCCGATATTAGTATTACAACATCAACAAAAATTCACCTGCAAAAAGCTTTCTTTTCCCACTTTCTTTTACATATTTAAAAAAAAAAAGAATGTTAAAAATGCAATCATCAGATTTTTTTTCTTCTCATTTTTCTCTCAGGGCTTCCATGCTAAATCTTGCACTCTGTATCAATCAAAGATGGTTTGATCAATAATGATTACGCCTGTCATGCACAGTATTTGTGGTAATTACAAGGAGACATACAGTTATTATTCACATTTGAAATCAATGACTCTCAAGCTGCCACTTATCAGTATCAGGATGAATATCGAGTGAAATACAGCATGTAGTAATTACGTTTCTATGGCCTGAGTCCAGCACAGAGCCACACTGTGAGCAGGAAGTGGGTTCCCCTTGTGTGATCTGCCCTGGAAATATGCCAAACATCAGTCATCATAAACCAAATGAATTGGAAATCAAACTAGATTATTGATAAAAAAGATTTATGGTGATCATAAAAGTATACTGACCTCTTTCTTCAGAGAGTAATTTCCCTAAACTGACAAGAAGCACGTTAGGATTTCCCGAAAGAGGACTCTTATCTGTTGAGAAAAGAGAATTAAAATAATCATTGATGGTGTAAAACATCATATAGTCTTAATGTTTTGACACCAAGAGGGAGATAGTTTCAATTACCTTTAGGTGATGGGATAAGCGGCGAGTCTGTTTTCTGAGGTGATGAGGGAGATGATTGAGAGGTGGGTAGCAGCACTAAGTACAACGGCATTGACTTCATGAACGAAGGCCTCGGAGGAAGTGGTGGGACTGATGTTTGAGAGCAGAATGAAACTGGGATTATCTGTCTGTACTTAAAAATGAATACAAATAGAGATATACGTTGTCTGTTTACCTAGTGCCTTGGTTAACCCGTTGTTGGTATCAGTGGGCGGCTTCACCTCGCCCCCCGCGCCTTCAGGGGTGGTGTACGAGTATGTTGGGTCCCAGAGACATGCGTTTGAATCTGGCTCATCTTTCGGGAGGTCGTAGGTAAATGCCTGACTGTTAGTGCTGGAGGAGTCGAACGGCTGGCGGGGAGGGGAGTGTCTGGTGGATGATGGTTTCATGTGTGGTGGAAGAAGAGCTGAGTGCAGATAGGAGTGGTGTTAGAGAGGACATATTACCCGCATTTTCAGGTTTCATATTTGTATTTTGCGCCTCTACTGTGACATGTCTCCATGCTTTAATGTTAAAAAAAGTCTTCATTTTTCCTGCAGCACCTCTTTTCACCCTCTGTCTGAAACCAGAGTCCAGTCTGCTCAGATTGGTTAGCCTTCAGGCTCTGTTGGGATTGGTCAACCGTTAGAGATGTCCCGCCCCTTAGACTAAGTACATGTTAATGGTCTGCCTTGGCTAAAATCCCAAAGTTACCTCCGGAGGATGTTTCTCTCCCACACCCTCTTTGTGATATCAGACAGTAACATTGGCGCTTCTATTGGCTAGCGCTCCAACACATTGTACGTGATTGGCTAAGGGGCGGGACATCTCTAAGCAGAGCCGGCCAGCTAACTAATCAGAGCAGACTGGGCTCTGGTTTCAGACAGAGGGTGAAAAGAGGGGCTGCAGCACAGGCAGTATGAGAAAAATAAAGAAATGTTTGAACATTTAACCTTTTAAATATTTCATAAAGGAACAAAATACAAATATGAACCTGAAAGTGTGCATAATAAGACCTTTTTAAGATTATACCATACATTAACACAAATACTGCTGCATCCACAGTACCTGTTCTACGAGGAGGTGTTGGAGATGCTTTTGGTTTATTGTGAAATTCTTCATTTTCATAGAAAACAGTAGGCTTCACAGCCTTCTTCACATTCTTGGTCTTTTCCAACTGCTCGATAACCTTTAGAAGAGGTCGGAGGGGTTTTGGTGATTTGGCCTCGGCAGAGTTTGTTGGAGGAGGAGGGGGAGGACTGCGAGGACGCATCCGGTTTACAGGAGGGAGAAGAGCTAAAAAGGCATACAAAACAAACGTATAGTGGCTGTTAATCTGAGAATAGCTTCTTGCAAGAGAAATGTGAGCTCAGAGAAAACAACTGGTGGCAGCGATGACCTTTGTGCTGTGAAGAAAATGTGACTCAGGTGGCAGATGGCTTTTTCCGAGAAAAGCAAAGTATCTGAAAGGAATTTCTCCTTCTAAGGAAGACAGCAGAGGTTGTGTGTGTCAATGATTGCATAACGCATACTTAACCAAACAAGCAGTCACTCAGCCGCTCGGATGAAAGCCAATGTCGTTATGAATTAGCAATAATGTTGTGATCATATATTGGATTTTACTTCTTTAATCTCTCTCTCAACGTGTTCAACAATTTTTCCAGAATAACTTTTAAATCCTGCAGAGAATGGGACTGACAGCAGGTGACGTGGCAATGATAGACGTAGAGACTGTACACAGTAAAGCTTAGTGTCTCTTTGCTGAATTTTCTTCAAACTGGTGAGTCAACAGAGAAAGTATTTGAGTCTGAGACTGACGGTCCTGACAGCTGCCTCAATTCTTATTCAACTTCCCCAGGCCGATGCATTTCTACTGTATGAAGCTGTCATTGCTATTCTGCACCTGTCCACCTGCTCACCTGTGTCTCTCTGTTTCAGTTTTTATAGCAGCCTCTTATCCAACAGTCAGATTGTTAACATTGCTTCTTGCCTTTTATTTCCAGTTTCTTCTACCTGAGCTAAAATCTCTACCTGTCTTTACCTTTCCCATGCTCTTTAAATGTAAACCTATGGATGTTCAGATACATGGTTTCTTTGCTTGTAAGTGTATGTATCATCTACTAATAAAATCCTTAAACTGATCATGTCTGCCTGTTTGGATCCTTGTTCTGTCTGACTTCTACCCCACAACTACTTAGTGGCCATAGAGAGATAACATAAATAAATCAAGGCCACCATTTGTTGAAGTTTGCACGGAAGATCTCTATAACTTTTGTATATAACACTAACATCTGTTGATTCTTTAGATACTCCACTGATACTGCATTGAACATATATGTGCCTAGTGATCTTTTGAATTTAGACAAATAAACTGTAAAATGGACCCAGAGATTTGACATATGTGGTTTTAAACAAAAATGATTGTTTTACATTTTGTGTGGCTGCAGTGTTTTAAAGAAATCCCACCTGAGAGCTTGATGACATTGGATTGTTGGCCGTTCTTCTGACTCACTGCGGGCGGCACATAAACAAACCCACAAGAAAATTCCATTGTGATAGCCTACTACCTACCTGTAAGAGAAAGGACATTAGGTGACACCTTATGACACATTCAACGGTAATACATTAAAGTCTTAACACATAAAACACCTGATTACAGTGAGGTGCAAAACAATCACAGCACAATGTCTTTCTAGGGAACATTGAGTTTCTAATACGTTGACTCGCCTTTAAAGACGTTTCAATACAAAAATGAAACCTTACAATGCAGCCAACATGTGTCTATTTATATCTGCAATATAAAATGAACATATCCTGTAAAAATAAGCAAATTTAAGACATACTTACACATGAGAGTCCTTTAAATCCTGTCAGTACAGTACAACCGTAAACATGAAACCTTCCCAGGTCTCAGAAATGTTTCAAAGACTGTGTGACGGTTTGTCATCCCTCACTTTGTGTCACAGACATGTCGTCCAACAGGTTCCTTTCCTTAAGAGTCTGTTGTAATACCACTCTAGTGTGTACAAAGCTGAGAGGCTGGCTGGTTAGTCAGAGATTTATGGTATATTGCCTAACATTAGTTAAACATTTCATTAATGTAAATACAAATGGGTGGAAGATTAAAAGCTGATTTGTGAAACAGTGCAGTAAAATGTGAAAGGTCAAGATGATAAATGTCCCCATAAAAGTTAAAGAATATCCAACACTGACTGTCCTGTAAAATTATTTCATGAACACATACAGTATCTTGCTAGTTTTATGTTTGTGATAAATCATTAATGTTCCTATTTATGTAAAATATGAGCGTATTCATGGTAGCATTTAAAATCACATTAGATAATGGCTGTATATTTATATGTTTCCATTAAAGTATGGCCAGGACTTCTAGGACATGAGGCTAGAAAAAATAAATATCTAAATGGAAAAGCACATTTTAAATCACTTTATATAGTTTTTGTTTGCTGTATTAAAGTATTTTCTTGGCTTCTGTTTGGTTAATCTAATTAAATGTATAGGCTTATAGCCATATGTATTGTAAAACAAGTGACTGCAAAATAAATTACAAACGCAACATATATATTATATAATTGAAATATTTGTAATTTATTTGAAAAGGATGGTACATATTCACACATTTCATGGCTTCTTATCTCTTGGTTTTTGTCTCAAAATATAAGAAATTAACAATATTGAGTCTACAGCAGTGATCGCCTCTGTGAGGCTGCAATAAGGCACAGCGGTGCTTTGAGCTACATGCTAACATCAGCATGCTAACAGGCACACACTGCTAATGCTAGCAAGGAGGTGATTAGCAGATACAATATTTACCATCTTCAGCATCTTAGATAAGCATATTAGCATGCTAACATGTAACTAACTTTGACCTGTTTGTAGAGATTCGTTTAAAAGTCAAGAGATCACAAGTGGTTCATCCTCATTGCACTTTGAATGACTTTTACAAATATATTATCAATTCATTTGATAGTTGCTGAGATTATCCAGTCCATATGAACATTCTGGACCAACCAATCGACATAACATTGCCATCCATTGCTAGGACACATAGCTAGCATCATAACAACAACAAATTGCCGAACAAAATTGAATTAGAGGCTAAACCATTACACTTTTATTTTGAAAATCCATTCCCTCAGTCATGTGCCTCTATAATACTTTTGATAAGTAAACATTAACCTTGTGTGCTCCCATCATTGTAAACCTGGGCAAACCTCATGTATCATTATCAGCTCTCCTCAAATAAAGTGAGCAAATAAATATTCTCTCTGTTGTTTCTTTTTAACATGCACACATGCGATGCAAACACACGTGCACACTCACACATATACACATACAGCTCCTGCACAAGCAGTACATTTTGTCTTTAATAAGTTAATTCATATTGCAGAAGTACTCAAGGTTAACTCAATAATTTTACATTTGAAAAATACCTGGGAACAGATTACTGTATATCTGACTTTAACTCAGAATCAGTGTGACAAAGATATAACATAATAACAACTATTATTTTATAGAAGACTTAAAATCGAACTGTTTGTGAGAGTTTAGGACATAGTTTATTATAAAGTGAGACGTCATTCTGCGACTTCCACGTAGTTTGCCGGGTAGAAGCCCTCCTTCCCTCCGCTCAGGACGCCTCGACACCAGCCCTGGTCATCCTCCTCTTCGACCTTCAGGAACACCTCGCCTGGGAGCACAGAAAATGAAAGTCCTTTAATCTATCTGATAAAATAATACATGATTATAATAAAGAGTTATGCATGTCATGAAACACATTACTTTTATTTCCAACTATATCTAAATCTATAGCCTAGTTTCAACCAGGTTAAAATCCTGTGTTGTATGTATCGCAGTGGTCTGCCTGAAGCTGTCATAAATGTACTTTTCAACTAGTTTTTAGCACCATTTTAACAAAACACTGACTTTTTTGTATGTAACTCTGTATTAAAACCTATTACTATTTAACTAAAGCAACAAAATCCTTGGTTAAACCATTGCGAACATGCCATAAGATGTTTTTACTATGAAGTAAACATTGTCAAATTTCTTCTAAAGCACATGTGTTAGACTTAATTGACTGTTGCTGTTCTCTATGCTGTTCTACACAGTTGGTTGTCTGGCTGCAAAATGCCTTGTAAATGTATAGTCTACATTTATGTTAAGATTTTCGTTTTCATATTTATACTTTTTATTTTTCAAAATACCAAACAGATCATGCATTTTAGCCATTACTCATTTCGCTCAATTTAACACTGTCTTTGCATGGGCTGATTCTGTGAGAACAGCCCCATCTACAGGCCTGGCATATGTACTACAGCATCTCCAGCGCTTTCGAACGGCAATGTCCGTGGCTGTCTCCTCCTGATTGGTGGAGTTGGCCCAATAGCCGTAGCGCCACTTCTGTGACGTCACAGAAGTGTTCAAATCTGGATCAGTCTGGATCAGATCCGTTGCAGCCCCTTTTTAAGAGATTTGGGTATGGAGGAAAATAGAGAGGGTTGTGTTTTCTGACACTTGGTGAGTTCCCTGGAACACCGGGGAAAAGTTCATTTTGCATGATAGGTCACCTTTAAAATAAGTATTCCAAGTATCTCCCTTCAAGCACATTTTGAGTCCATCTTTTTTCGTCTGTGCAGGACTTTTAATGATATTTAATCCACAAAGCAGATGTTAAAAGTTGTTCAAATGTACTCTCAGTACTGAATAAAATATCTTCTTCAAATCCCAAACTATCATACAAGAGTGCAGAAATTGGAAAAGAGGTGGCTTTAAAAGAAACATATTTGAACTGAAATACCCATAAATCCTGTTATGTAACATCAGTTAAGTGTCTGGCATCATTTTAGAGGAACTTGGATGCATTTCTCTGCATTTCTCAGATTTATACTGATACAATGGTTGTACTTGTGTAAAACAACCTTGCCTATTGTAGCTTTAAAAACACGGAATAACACTGCTGTTGTATACATTTGTGTCCCAACATCACACTCTATGTGTCACCTGCTTTAAAGGACAGCTCATCGCCCTCCTCTCCCACGTAGTCGTACATAGCTCGCACCTTCACTCCCCCGATCATCACACTAACAAGAGAAGATATGGGCGTTTGAACAGTTAGAAAATCATAATTATAACTTGCATTTTTTTTTATATTGTTCTTCAAGAAAGAGTTATGAATAAAAAGTTGAATGACTTACGGTCGGCCGTCTTTTCTTTGCTGCTCTCTTTTCTTTCTATTTAGCTTTTTTATTGGTGGCACCCATTCCTGATGGAAGAAGTACAAGTGGCAGATATTAGGAGCAAAAAGTCTACAGTAATAGCATCGCAACATAATGCAAATATCCACACATAAAAGGGTCTTGTTAATATGGGGTTTAGACATATTGCAAGAAAAACACTGCTATAAAAAGACATGCACAAACAAATAACACAACGCAAGTCGTTTGCAGACCAGTCTGTATTTTCCCTCCAACATTTTCCGCTCATAAATAAATATGACCTCCCATTTTGTCAATCACATTTATTAAACTGACTCTGAAACTTTTGTCAATTTTAAACGTTTTTTTCTGAGCAGGTTCGAATATCCTTGTTTTCTCTTGACCCCTCAGAGCCACCGTACATCAAGTAGTCATCCAAAATTCAGAAACTGATTTACTTCGTCTACAAATTCAACAAATGAAAGGATAAAGAAATGCAGGATTTAATGATTTGGCAGGTGATTGCAGAACAGCTTGGAAACAGTGATACTGATCAGAAAAACAAAGGATGCACAAAGCATTAAAAAGTATTGATTGTGCTTTAAGCAGATGAATAATGGCTTCTTGCTATTAGACCTGTTAAGGACTTGCATTATCTATTGTCCCCAAATCATAAGTCTTGAAATGTGATTCAACAAATCCAATGATAACCTGAATCGGACACAGTGTGCAATTCTTACCGTTTGACAGATACAAAAAAATGTATATAAAAAAAAAGATGCATGCATGTATTGTTTATGTATTGGAGTTAAACGTTGTAGCTTACATCTATCTTTGGCCAGTCGGTGGGCATGCCGGGTCCGTTGTTGTTCTTCCACCATTTGAGATCATCAAGCTCATTGATGGACATCAGAGTGTTGTGGAGCTCGCTGTACACCGCCTTCACACTGAAACACACACACACAAAATGTGAGAGGTTGAACTCTCTCTCCTCCCTCCCACCTCTCCCCCCTGCCCCCACTGGACTTTAACACCCCACACACACTCAGACACACAAATCCAGCCGCAGACACTTTTTACGCTGCTATGGACAGTCTTGCACTAATGTACATTTATCAAAGATATTGAAGTGACTGTTAACTTGTATATATTGATTGCTGTGCTTTTAAGATGTCTTAATGTGTGCATATGTATAAATGTGTCTGTTGATTGTGTATATATAGGTATATACATATTTGTATATATATATATGTTTTTGTATTCGGGATTGTGGGAAGCGGTATTTCCATCTCTCTGTCTGTACATAAAAACTGAAAGATTGACAATAAAGTCGACTTTGACTTGACTAAATCAACATACATTTTCAAAACTCTTGCCAAGACTTCCGATGGCTGCTCACCTCTCATTGTTGGTGATGTCCAGATGTCTGTGGATTGAGAGGAAGGCCTGCTTCAGAAAACTGATCCTCTTCCTCTCCTCCTCCTGCGACTGCTCGAATATGGCCTCCATCTCCTCCATGTAGCGAGGTGTGTAGGACGTCACATCCTCCAGCAGTTTCTCGTAGCGTTCTCGAACCTGCAGAACATTTTTATGATTAAAAAGTTGGTACGCTCCAACAGGAAGGACATGTATTTCTTTAATGAGGGCGATCTAGCTTGCATTAATCATCTGGAGCTATTTACCGTTCCCATGCTGGTCTCCATAAACACTGAGCAGAGTAACAATAACACATCTCCATACAAGGGAAAAGCTTGGAAGAGAAGCTTAAGGCTGGGGCTTGTGTTTAGAGTCGATATCACCACAGCAGCAGGCCAACAAGACTTCCTAGGAATGCATCCTAACTGTAGCATGCTGTGGGAATTTTGATTTAAAATGCTCTGAATGAAGCATTTGTCAAACTTGCTTCTGGAGTTCGGTGGTGCAGAGTGTGTGAACGTGTTTTCTCACCTTTTCTTTGTCCTCTGTGACCTTTTCTCTGGCATCAAGGAATTTTTGCTTTTTCTCCGGGCTGGTCTGAGGGTTTTCGATAGCTTGTTTCTCTTTGTCCAGGGCGTTGTGCTCCCTCTGACACGACTTGTGATATGCAACTCGGGCCTTCTCCAGCTGTCGAAAACACATTCACACACATGCATATTATTACCTTGAATGGAGAAGTTTTAAATGTGGGGACATTTGCATATTCTTTTTTTGTATCCGAGTTAAATATGGCCTGGAGGTATTTAGCTTAGCTTAGCTTAAAGACAGGGGGAAACCTCTAGCTTGGCTCTGAGCAAAGTAATAATATCATATTGGTTGGATTTGTGCAAAAAAACATATAGAGTCGGGCCTAGAAAGAAACTTCCTGTAACCAAAACTTAAAACATCTCTCTATAAATAACACTTCAACATTTAGTTGATACACTGGATACATTTTTGCACAGCATTGTATTTTGCATTCAAAGAGTCAACATTATCTTCTCAAAGTTCATTTCATTTGTGCAACTATCCGACAAGAGAGTCAATAAACTACACGTTTTTAAATGTTGCACTATTCTTTTAAACCATATATTGAAAAACCATTTTCCCGTGCATAAAAAATAATATCACTAGGTCTACTAATAACTTTTTAATTCTGAGCTTTAGCAGATGGAGTTGCCAAATAAAAGAGACCGTGAGATAAAGCTAAATGCTAACATTATAGCAAGTAGATTAAAGAGTGGGTTGTGGATTGTGTGTAAAACTACCATTGCCAATTATAACCACTAGATANCACACCCACACACACACACACACACACACACACACACACACACACACACACACACACACACACACACACACACACACACACACACACACACACACACACACACACCTTCATCAGCTTTTTGGACCAGGGTTTCTGCGCACGTGAAAAGCTTGTCTTGTTGCCGTGGCTCTCACTGAACCCACAGAAGAGTTTCTTTGGGAAGGTCTCTTTCTGCCAGGTCTTCACCCGGTCCCCTTCCTCTGCTGTGAGCGACTGAGAGATGGAGGAGTGGAGCGCTGACAGACGCTCGGTGGAGGTGAAGAAACACTGCCACGCCCTCATGAGGGAGCCATAAAGCGGCCCTGGGGAGGAAAGCAAAAAAAGACTGAGGAATGAAAAAACACAGAGCACAGAGGTGAGTCATGGAACCAAAAGAGAAATAATGACCTCCATTTGTTTCAAATCAAGAGTTCATGTTAACTTGACGACAGCTACATGAGAAAGGCCTGTTCTCTGTTTAAAGGATCCCCAACATGCTGCTTCTCATACTCACGAGAATCCACTATAGTTTTCCACTTATTGCTCCACTGGTTCAGCTGCTGGGCGTACTGCTTTTCTACTTTAGCTCTCTCATTGAAGCAGGCCACGATGTCGTTGCAGGCCTGGAAGGACTTCTCAGTTCGATGCACTGTACGCACATAGTTCCCTGGCTGTGAGAAGGGAAACATTGTAAGAAAAACCAGCAGAACGCAAGTTGTGCCACATTGTTTTTCCTTTTGTTGGTAGTTGTCTTGGATGTAATCATAAATATATCCTCACCATCCAGAAGCTCTGTCTCTTGGCATCTTGGGTCGGCTCTTTGGGAAGGCTCGCCATTATTGTCTGTCTCTGAAAGCAAAGGTTGGCTGGTTATGTTGAACAAGAGACTTGCTCGACTGGTTAAAATGCAAAACGAGTGAATGAATGAGCGCTTTTATTGGCAGAGGAGTCACATTAAAAACCATGCAACAGGTTGAACGTCTACACGGTGTAATGGGCAGATACAGCATGGTTCCTCATAAACAAAGCCCTTCCCTCTGAATGACGAGTAATTGGCGGCTGCAACCGTGTGTATTTCTGAGCTTATTGCCATAACAACTTGGCATAGGTGTTATTTACGCTGTACAGGGCGTAGATACATCCAAGGAGCCCCCTGTGTGAGTAAGGGGAGTGTCATGCAGTGGCAGACTGGAATTCACAGGGTGCGATCTGCCAGTAGGAATAGAGCAGCTGCTCCAGCATTCTTCCTGCTGCCTTCCCAAAATAAACAGCAGGGAAAGGTCATCTTTCCCATTGCTCTGACTAATACAAGGCCTATTAGAAACCAACTGTCTCCCACTCTCGCTCCTCCTGCCATTCGATTCATGACACATGATCATGTGTGCCTAATGGGAATGCAGGAGAATAACTGTCCAGATAGCAGGCATTTTTGCACAGTGTGTAAAAGCAAATTACATTAAAAGGAGATTGAACAAAAGAATTGGAGATTCATGCACAAACACGCAAAGGAAGGAGTTGCATTCCGGCCTATTTCTGTCTTGGTAACGCTTCGACACATTGCTGGCTGAGCAATATGAAAGTGACTAACCACACCTCATCACAAGACTGAGCATGACAGCGAGTCAGGCTCATCTACGACTCTTTCCCTCAGCTTGCTGTTGCTAATGCGTATATATATATGTTCTTGTTATTTTAACAGTTGCAAGTGGAAATATAGCAGGGAGTCACTGAACACTTTTTTTTTTCAGAGAAGATGTTTGAAATTCACAGCACATCTTCATATTTGATCACACAGAATCATTCATATCAAAGTATTAAGGAAAAGCCTCAGTGCACATGTCATAAAGAATCAATAAGTGGCAACAGAGCGGTCATGCCTCGGAGAACTTACATTTCTCTCTGGATCACCAGTGATTACTCAAGTGACCACTTGTTACTGTAGTTCTGCTGAGGATTCTCTCTCCATTCCTCTGTCCGTCTCCCCCTCTCTCCCAGGCTGCCTCTCTCCCCTTTCACTGACCCAATTCTCCCCTGGCACTTAAAGTTACACACACACACGTTGTTGATCTGAAAGTGGGCGTGAGACAAAGAGGTGAAGCAAGCAAGCAGAACAAATAAATTAAACAAATCAGAGCATTTGCATGATAGTCACTAATTGGCTTCAGGGCAAAGAAAGAGGGAGGAAGACACTTACCTTTCCTGCTCTCCTCCCCCGTATGTATGCTGGGAGATTCTAGCTTACAGTCATACACTTTTCTGTCCTCTTTCGCCTACTTTAACCCCATCCTTCTGGCTTCACTCCCTATCAGCTCTTTTGACTGTCACCCTCTCACTTTCTCTCCACTCTGTTGCTACAAAAACAGCTGGAAAAATCCCCCTCCTTCCCCCCTCTCTCTCTCCATGCCCGTCCCTCCCTCTGGCTCTCGATATGGTGCTAATGAGACCTTCATTTTGACCGTTCGCTGTCAAAGAAATGTGTCAGGGTGGCACAAAGTCATGTGAGCTTATTAGTGAGTGTGTGACAGCGGTGGGGAGGGGGGGATGTCCTGTGAACTGTGACCCTTTGTGACCTTCCTCTCTGCAGTCAGGCCTAGAAAGAAGACATGTCAAAGTGTTTAGAGCATGTTCACACACACACTGTTTACTTTTTGCTGGGTTTTACTCTTCCCGATATCAGCCAGAAGTTAAAACAGAACACCAGAGTTATGCCGTAAGTCTGGTTTCTGTTTCCCAGCTTTTTCTTTAGATAAAGGCTGTGTATAATCAGACTTTTTAAACAGCCACTAACTCATAACAGCTTACACAAAACCAGAGAATTGCAAGACCATTTACCGCCTACCATACGGTTATTTTCTCCCGTTTCTCAATGGTCGCAGAGGTTTAATATTGGGTATGTGTTCCTCTAGGCTCCATGGAATAGGCTGCCCTTACATGTAAGAGAAAATAAGTGACAAACGCCACATTTGAAACTTGTAGTGTAACTTTATCATTGTACTTTTTGGGGAATATTTTTGCATTTAGCATTTATTTATCTGGTTTGTTCTTATTATGATGTTGCAGAATCTGTTCTATTACATCAAATACACAATGGACATCAGCTTGGCCTCCTTTACTGTTTGTAGTTACATTGTGTATTATTTAAAGGGGACCTATCATGTAAAATGCATTTTGTGATGTCTTTTATACATAAATATGTGTCCCCGGTGCGTCGGGGAACTCACGCAGCGTCAGAAAATAAAACCCTCTCTCTTTTCCTCCGTACCCAAATCTTTTAAAAAAGGGGGTACAATGAGCGGATACAGATTTGCTGCCGATCTGACGTCAAAATCGGCAGCGGACCCACAGAAAGTTGCTATCAGAAACAATGCCTGACGTGTTTTGGACGTAATCTTGTCTTTGTTTACATTAGCAAGCCTCGCTAACACTCAGAGCTAACCTGTAGGCCTACTGGAGAGCAGAGCACATGTGTTTAAAAAGCAGGAAATAAAAAAAGGAACTCACCTTGTGATAAACCCACAAGAGAAAAAGCATTTGAGCTCCATACTGTTTCAGACATAATCTTTGATGTGGTTTAGAACAGGATGGCGTTTTATCACAGCAGAATTTAACTTTATCTCCGGTAGAATTCTGATCAGGCATNCCGCATAAACAAAAAGTTTGAGAACCCCTGCTGTAGAGCACATATGTTTAAAGAGCAGGAAATAAAAAAAGGAACTCACCTTGTGATAAACCCGCACGAGAAAAAGCATTTGAGCTCCATACTATTTCAGAAATAATCCTTGATGTGGTTTAGAACAGGATGGACGTTTTATCACTAGCAGAATTTAACTTTATCTCCGGTAGAATTCTGATCAGGCATTAGCTCCGCCTCCTTTTTTTTTTTTTTAAAGCTAAGGACGCGTTTCTCTAACACGGCTGCAAAAGAGGGGTATGAGCAGTAGCCTATGAGGGATGGCTACAATGGGTGATCTGTTTGGTATTTCAAGCAAAAAACTACACAGACATGTTTTGTATTGGTATGGCCCT